CTCAGGTAACTTCTGTTCTCTCTCACCCATTCCTCTTCCCAAATGCCCAGCGTACTTTGTTTAATAAACAAGAAACTTGAACCCCATATGGTTCCTCTCTGTTTCAAAGGACCTATCCCAGACATCACAAACTGATGCTCCATGAGGCATCACAGCTGATCAGAGCCAGGCCAGCTGGTAGGAATGCTTGAAATCGTAAGGTTCACTTGTTCATGCTGAGGATTTCTCTTTTCTCCCCTCCACGTATGAGCTAGATACCCACATTTGGAAATTTTGATTTTTTTTTTAAAAAACACTATCTGATCTAAGGGCCCCACTTCATTGGTACAGTCTGGATAGGAGTGAAGTACCAACTTAGGTACCAAGTTTTGTGTGGCTCCAAAGGTAATTTTTTAATGTATGGTATTTAATAAGCAAATTTGCTTAACCCCAAACTTCATCTTAAAAAACAAAAAGTGTGGAATTTCAGTGCTGGTGAAAGAGTACCCTTGAAAGTATCTTGGTGAACGAAGTCCTCGATTTACCTATACACTGCTTAATATGCCATCATTTTGTGGGGGTGGGGAGAGCGGAAAGGGGTGGGTAAAGAAAAGAGATCAACTTAAAAAAAAAAAAAAGAGTAATCGGAGTAGTTTTGTCTAGGGCCCATACAGGTCTTGATCTCAGACAATTGATTCCAGCTCCCCCATCTCTCATCATCATATCTTGCACTAAGACCCACAACATAGCCATTAGAAATTTAATTCCTGAATTAGGCTGGTTTCAAATTGGTGACTATCCAGTTTCCCAGTAAGTGCCAACATTGACACCTTCAAGAATGAAGCTTGCTTTCTTGAAAGATAAGTTTGAGAACCCAAGTCCTGAGCTATTTGAAGCTTAGCCAGCCAACATTTTCTACTCTGGATATAGAAGCACCAAACACCCACCCCAAAATCCCATACTGTTTTCAGGCTCCCACAAACACTCCATAATCAAGTGCCCTATCCTGTTCTTGAAGGGACAGCTCCCAATGACCAAAATTGTTAGCCTGTATAATCAATTTTTGTCTTAAGTCTTCTCTCAACTTTGATTCACTCATCTTGAGGTGTAAGCTCCTCAAGGCAGAAACTGTCTTGTGCATCTGTACAGCACCTAGCACAATCTGGGCTCCAAATGCAATTGGAAATTTTGAACATCATTGTAACTACTTCCCACATTAGAATTCCTTCCGGTGGAACTTCTAGCAAATTCCATATGCATTGTCCATAGTGGACCATATCCCAGCCTTTTTCAAATGTTGCTGAGAATATTCTTCAGTCTATTTAATAATTCCAGCTGCTAATCAAAAAAACGGTTTGGATATTAAAAAAATTCTTATTTTCTGCTAAGCATGTATGCACACACATGCGAGATAGGGGGGAAAAGGTGGAAATAGAGTTGGAGGAATTCTAGACCATACAATATAAAGCCTAATCCCTAGGAAAGAGATGCATTTAATAGCATAGTAGGAATTTAAAAAATACAAAGGTTTTTATGAAGGTTTTGCTCCAAGAATGCTACTTGAAACTAATCTTGCTCAAAGGGCAAAAAACAAACAGCTACCTACTTTTTCCTGTCTTCAACACCCATGCTATGCACCAACAAAGAGAAACCACTAAGAGAACTCTCAACCTCACGGGACTCATTCACCAGGTGTTATTGTGGTTTTCATATTATTGAGTGTGCGCGCATCACTTTTGCTGCAGCTACCTAAACGTATCTCTTTGCTCTTTCGCCTACCCACCTATCTGATAAGGAGTGTACTGTTATAGCGGCTTCTATTCTACAGCGCTGGAGGTACAGAAGAGCTTATAGCTTGTTTTTCTGCAAGAAGTAAATGAAAGATCAGTTACCAAGGTTGGGAGGGGGGAGAGGGAGGGGGGGGGGGAGGAACCACAGGAGGAGAAAGTAGCCTACCCCTAGTAAAATTGAATGCAAAATTGACTTTCATCTCTGTCACGAACAGTATCAATATCAGTGCATTAATTTTTCTTTTTCGATGTGTAGTACACATCTTGCACTTTACTAGAGAGTTTAGTTTCTGATTAAAGTCCAGCCAAAGAATCAAGTATGCATGGAGAAAAATTTTAGTGTTTTAAACATCAGCCTTTTGAGTCATTTTTCCATTGTTGTGAAATTTTCAGTAATCTTGACAACAGTGTTTTCCACCCAGCATTTTTTCTAAGCATTATTAGTGACAGTATTGTTATTCCTCTCCCAAATCAAATTAATCTTGACAATTACTCCTGAAAACTTAGCTACAAACATCACTAGCACTCCCCTGGCTCTTGCATACAGGACTGTATGTGTTGCACATAGAGATCCAGAGGAAAAAAGTGCAAAGTTGAATGCCTGGAGACAATTTGCCCACCCCAAACTGCAAGCCTGAGGCAGGAGCGGCCCCACTGGCCTGACTGGTCCCTCCCCCCACATATAGAAGTCAAATTACACCTATAGTTGAATGACCCAACCCTGCTGACAAACAGTGCACAGCTTTACGCATGTACCCAATTCCATTAAGATCAGTGGAATTATTCACATGCATAGAGTTAAGCATATGGAGCATTGGCAGCATCAGGGCCCGAGCTTGCCACAGGACTCTCTGTTGCTTTTTTACAGATCCAGACTAACACGGCTACCCATCTGATACTTGGCCTGAGCTTGTATCCCTGCCCTCTGAAGGAAGAGCTGGTTTTACACTTTTGCGTCTAATATCCTGAAATAAAATTGTTTTAATTAGAAAGGGCCACCACAGCTAATATCCATTCAGTTTAATGAGCATTTACTGGATTATCTGAACATAAGCAAGTCAGACTGTTCAGATAGTGTGAAAAATACCAGTACCCTGAGGTGATTTCAAATTCTGTCTAATACCTCCAGGCAACAGTTGCGGTAAACGAGTAGTTGCTTTGTTATGCAAATGAAGAATCTCAGGTATACCACAAGGCTACTTCACACACAAATGGTCAGACTGACACCACTGATGAGAGCTTGGGTCTCTTAAACAGACTTATCTAAACTGTTTTTCAATCTTGCTATCTGCAAGGAAACAGAGGGAAGTTGAATGGGTGACAGTTAGAAGCCCAACAAAGGTAGAGAGCAGAAGTGACGAGGTGGGTAAGTAACTGCTTACCACATAGGTTGTGGTTAATAGCAAAGTAAGCGAGTATAATCTTCTGGATGTAGTATTTTGATCACACACACACACTAAAAGACAGCTGTCAAGTATAAAAACAAAAGATGATAGTTCATTTAAACAAACAAACAAAAAAAATTAACTCAAGTATGTAGCCTTGTGGTTAAGTCTGGAGATTTCAGTTTATGGTCAACAGTAGTATATTACAAGAACACTATTTTACAGGAATTGTGGTGCTGCTTTAACATGCTCCCTTAGACATTAGGCTGGGAGAATTACAATTAAATGATTCTGCTTTCTATCCCCCACAATATCAACTCAAATATTTCTACAATAGAAGGAAGCTGATCAATTTAGTCTGAAATCTCAATTATTCTACTTTCTGCAGAGGTGTACCAGTAGTGTGCAAGTAAATAACGGATGTCCCACTGTTACGCATTTAAGAACAAAACATTTTGAGATTTTAAGTTCTCTAGTCATTTTTATAGGGCAACATTAAGAAGTTGGATTTATTTTGCTTCTAAAACCACTTGCACTCATGTATTGTTTCTTGGAGGTAGAGGAAGTAGCACAGGGTCTTATTAAATCCCTGATCTTCAAGGAGACATAGGTCTGAGCATTAAAGACTGCATCCTTTTTGTTAGCAAGTCAGAACTGCAATTTAATCGGTCAAGAATTTTTATTTTACATATCTTTCAGCAGAAGCCAGTATAGAAAGGCCACATGGGATATAGTTTGAATACTTCAAAAATTAAGTTAAAGGGTAGAGAAGTTGTCAGCTAAACACTTTCGCATCTTACTAGCTCTTTGTTACTAGAAAAAAAATGCAATGCATACAATGAATAAAATGCATGAAATTGTTTTCCACTGAAATTATGATTCTACAACAGGAGACACAAACAACTTCTGGTTTTCCAAGGCAATTCTGCTAATGTGATTTCCTCAACTAGAATTAAATTTATAAAAAATTCCCACTAATTTACAAAAACAAGTGGGAATTTAGTATACAGCTGTTAATCAAGCACACTTCTACACCAACCAGAGAATATTACTCATCTTGACAGTAAATCAGGGCTAATGGCCACCACATGGTAGAGCACAAACACAAAAGTTGCTCTCAGCTACATCTTACATAGTTATCTTAAGAAGTGAGGTTCTTATCCACGAAAGCTTATGCTCCCAATACTTCTGTTAGTCTTAAAGGTGCCACAGGACCCTCTGTTGCTTTTTACAGATTCAGACTAACACGGCTATCCCTCTGATACATAGTTATCTTAGTTCATCCACATGCTATATCTTCAACTATGGTTATTTTCCCTAGTGACAGTCAATCTCACAGACCCGACAACTTCACACACATAGCAGCCTGTGTTAGGAATAAATATCAGCTAAGAACGAGTAGATGAGGAAAAACATTTGTCAGCTCTTTTTGAATGTCATGTACAGATTAGCAATTCCAGTAGTCCTACCCCCAATCCTCTATTTTCTCTCCTAAGCAGGAGAGACTAAAGCCAGTATAGTAGTACTTCTGTTCTTCCTGTCACTGTAAAGGTAGCATTTACACCATTCCATCACAATTTATTCCATAAAGTCACATTAAAAGGTATCTTTTTTCAGCCTTATTCAAACACAAAACTTGATACTTCAGTCATTAGATTTGCAGCTTTTCCTCCACCAACCCAATCAAAATCCTCAGAAAGTTTATACACCAAATGAAAGGAGCATACAGAATAGCAATGCATTGTTCAGCTTAGTTGTATTTAACATAAATAATATCAAAAGTGTAATATACTGAACAGAAAGCAATTTGTCTCTCCAAAGACTATTTGTATAACAGGTAACTCACTGTTCTAGGGATGGGTGGAGACAGAGATCCATTAGACATGTAGGGGTCATTGTTCATATTTGGCATCATGATATACCCAGAATAACCAGAGTATGATGGGCCTTTGCTGTATAAACCACCATCCGGATGTTTTCCTGGGAAAGAAAATAAGTGGAAGCTAAATTAACAGCCCCTAAAGTTTTTTCTGGTACATTAGAGGCATTTTACAGTAAGAAACACAATATCTTTTAAAAAATATTTGGGGGGGCTGGAAGGGTGCATATTGCTAGGGACCTCCATTTTATTTTTATTGCATTTCTGACAGCAGTTACTCCCTTAAATGGCTTATTAAACAGGCATTTGTTAGGAATTGCACTTAAGATATGGGAAGACTTCAGCACAGCCAGTCTATTTTATGAGTCTATTCAAACACAAACAGAGATTGGACTAGGATGATTTGCATAAGAGCTTGGAAGAATAGACACACACAGAATGCACTACATTAGATTCTAAAGCTACTTGATGGTCTTCGGTTTTTGCCCCCATAATTTTTAGAAACCGTAAGAGAAACACCATTTCTAGGCTATGTTGGTGCATTTTCATTGCATGAACAACAAGCAATGCTACAGACATCAAATACCAGCAATGGAGATAAAATTTATAAAGCAGTAATTCTTTCATTTTTGCTAGCATCTATTGGAACTGTCCTGCATATGGACTTCTCCCATCAGTTACACAGCTGGTTGCAGGAAAGTGCAGTATTATGGTTAGACAGAGCCACTTCCTTCACTAACTGACATACTGCATGTATGAACAATTCTTTCTGGTCATGCTAATTGAAAGTGATTAAGGAGAATAGGAATACTGGCTGGTGTACAAGGATACCCTACTGCTTATTGGGGCCTATTCAAAACAAAGAGGGTTCCACTTCTAATTTGTTTAATATCTAATTTAAATAATAAAAGGCTATTAAGAAGGACCAGGACTGAAGAAAAGCTGAAGCCCCAAACTTTATGTGGAACTCATTTTAATTCTAATGGAGATCATCCTCCTTACCAACTAACCCTATTATAATAATATACTGAAGATAATCCTACATTACTGTCCAGTTTTCTAAACTAAAAATGTACACTGTCAGTTTCACTCATCTTCCTTAATGACGTATTAGATTTCACTAATTTGCACATCAAAACGTTAGAATGTTGTTCCTGATTTTAAGGCTTTTTTTAAGTGACAGACTTGGGTTGGAAAGTGAGCATACAACTTCTTCATATACATAACTCAGTAGGATTGTCAGAAGGAGGGAAGAGTGAAGATTTATATATGAATTACTGATATTCTAAAAATAGTTATTTCAGCAAAAAGATCTGTTTGGCCTACTTACTTCAATTGGCAAACAGCTGATATACCATTTAGTTACTGAAGTTAGATGAATAAACAGCAAATCTCTTTTTTGCTCAATTTTGAAAATGTTTGGATTTTTTCAATAAATACAGATCACATTTTATATACAAGTTAAACTGATTGCTTACTAAAAGGCAATTACATCTGTGTACACATTGAGAGGGACATAAAGTAACAATGTAGAGTAAAGAATAAGCACATCTCACCTTCTTCAGAATGTTCTCTGCCTTTGTCATGATAGGATTCCTGAGCTTGGGCTTGCCTGGAAACCTAGCCACACAGAATCCACCATTAAAGAAGGTATTTTTATGCATATCTGTTCACTTTTGCTTAGCACTCGATCTTCCAAAAAAAAAAAAGTTAAGTGTCTAGGTCAGGAGAAGAAATTGTATATTTGTCCTACCTCATGCTAAAAAGGAAGTGTGCTAAAACATAGAATGGTCATTTTTATTACAAATTTAATAACCGTGTGCTTTTACAAAGCAGTTCTAGCACAAGTAGTGCACTAAATTTACTAAAGGGGCTTATTTCTTAAGAATACTTTAAGCTTTAGGAACCAAAATAGTATTCCTAAATTGGTACCAAAGAATAATGAAAACTGAATGCCCCCACTATATGGGCTTTTAAAAATTCCATCCTTGTTCTTAAGTTGTTTTCATATTAGTGAATTGCTACCAAAACAGTTTGTGCAAATCCTTTAAAGAGTTTACGATTAATGCTCTGACCTTTGATTTTACCAAAGAAATTTCATGGCTACTTTAGGCCTAATGCTATTATAGGATCCTGTGACTCATATGAACTTGCTTGTTCTGGGCTATGGAAACAGACATATGAAGGAGAGAGAAGGTCCTCCTGCATACACACTAAAAAGGTGTTTAGCACTCACTTAAAATATGTCAGTGCAACACTGCATATTCCTTTATTTATTTTTTAAAAGGCTATTTTTACAACATGCAGTTTGGCTTGATCATGAGACAGGCTGGAACGGAGAAAAAAAAGCCAGCTAAGCTTTTGGATAGTCCCTGAGTGGAAGTTGCAGTAGAAGCCAAGAACCAGCATGTCAACTCTGACTACAAGTGAAAGGTTGTTAGTTGGCAGTGTTAATCTACAGTCAAAAATAAGACTTCCGGAGTCAAAGCAAGGTAACTACTAATGTGTTTGTTGGCGGCTGATCTCAGTATCGCAACCCCAATTTCTGACTATATTAGCTTATTGCAAATGAACTCCCAATCAATATTATTACTCCCCCCCCACACACACACACAGAAAAAATCCATGCCCATTCATTAGTTACTAAAAGTAGCACTATATTAACTCCACCCCTGCAGTCCATTAGTTGCTCATTCTAGTTTCTTAGGATCACTGCCGATTGAAATGCAGTGATTAGGAAGGAAAAAAAACTGGTTAATAAAATGTTTGAGATGTGAGCAAACTCAAATCTGAGTCTGCACAAATCTTGTCCAGCAATCTCAGATTGTTATCCAAATCCACCACTAAAACTAAGCACCAAAAATTCAGGTACTGAATGCATCAGATCTCAGGCACCAGATGTTTCCCCCTTCTTCCCATGGTGAGAAGTTAGCCATCTACAAAAATCTGACTCCCCAATGCAATGAATTGCCCCAGATCCCTCTGTGTTTGAGGGTAAATCCCAGTTTTTTTTCCCTAGGTCTGCCTCTTAAATGTTTTCACAGGCCAATGCATTTTAGTAACATAGAGGAGTGACCTTCTCCCCACAAAAATTCCTATCAGATGCGGACAGATGATCTGCAACTTCTCCTCCCACCTTTTTTTCCTTTTTCTTTTTTTTTTTAAAGAAAAAGGTAAAAGGTCTAGTTAGTTCCCTCCCACAAGCACCCACGTGTCTCTATTTACTCTACTCTGATAGCTTACTGTACTATCAAGGCGCTCGAGCCGAAGGAGCCCCTAAGCAAAGAACAAGCTTGATAATGCACAGCACATGACTCCAAAAAGGGGGTTTTATCGCAAGACGGGCTGGAGCACACGAGACAGACCGGGAGAGCGCCGACGCGGTCGTGCTGACTCGATCAGCACGGGTCTCCCAACAGTCTGAGCCCCAAGTTGGGGGCAGATCAAAGAGCCGCAGGCAGTGAATGAAGTACTGCTATTGCCCAGGCTCTGCACACATCTGCCCGGTTTGCAAAAAAGGTCTCAGTGTTCGCTCTCCCACCACCCCCCTTACACACTCCCAGGTGCCTGCCCTCCCATTCATGGGAAACTTGGCATATTCGTTTACAAAGCGCTTTGGTCAAAACCGCGTCTCACTTGGCGGCTGACGACGTCCTGTTTTCCTTTGCACCCCCGCCGTTCCCTTCCTTTCCCCTGCATTTTTTTAAGCCTTCACTAAAAATAGAGGTGCCAGGAGAGGTGCACACAGTGCTGCTTGTCTTGCATTTCACTGTATCGCCTTTAATTCATCCAGATCTAACCCGATCCAGGACCCTCGAGATGTTTAACTGTAGAGCCAGAGAGGCCAGGCTGGAATCAAGGTGCTTCAGAGCCCTATAATCAGCAAAACCGTGAAGAGGCGTGTTGGTCTTCCCTGGCCTAAGCCCAGGAGTGAAGTCTCTAGAGCCGCCCCCTCCCCAGATCCCTTATCCGGGTGTCTCTGAACACTTGGCCTCACGAACTGCACAGCAGCTGGCTGGCCTCCCTCCGGCCCCCTTACCTCATGCCCGTTGCTGTTGGGGGTGATCTCTGACTCGTTAACGAGAGAGGACTTGATGTCGGCCAAGTCTCCTTCTTCCTCCGGGTGGCTGATCTCCGCGAAGATTTTCTCCTTCTGGGGATCGCCTTCGTCTTTGAAAGGGATCATTTCATCTGTGGCGCACAGCTCCGGATCCCCCCCACCGCCTCCTCCGGCTCCCGGCAGCTGAGGCATAATTGCTCTTTAATTCCTGCTCCGCCCGGGGAATAATAATAATAAAAAGGAATAATAAATAATAATATTATTATTAAGTCTTTACGAGCCGCTTGTCCTCACTCGTCTAAGCCTTCCCCTCCCACCTCCCTTCCCGAAAGAGAGTGGAGGCCAGGCAGGTACAACCACCTGGGGGAAAGGAGGGTCGGTCTGTCCGACTTGTCGGTCTGTCTGCTGCTGTGTGCGGGGGTGGGGTGGGGGGGGCGCATGCAGTTTTCTCCTCCCCCCCCCTCCCCCGGTTTCCGTTGTGTCTGCAAGAGGACAGAAGAGTTTGTAGAAGTTGGGGCCCTTCTGGGTCTGCTTTTATCTTCTCCGGGGCTTTTTTAAAAAGAGAGGCTCCCCCCTGGTTCCCATTCCCCCGCCCCCGCGAGCTATCGGGGGAAGAGACGATCCGGCGAGCTCCAGCTAGTGCAGCCAGAGGAGCGAGGCCGGTGCCTGGCAGAGCTGGAGCGTTCCCCGGAGCCCTGCCTCGCTGCCGCCCCGGCTCCAGCGCAGCCCCGGCACTCTGGCTTTCCTTTCATGGGAGAAGGGGGGGCTACAAAGTTCGCCTCTAGAGTTGAGTGGGGGTCCCCGCCTGCCAGCCGGGGAGGTGGGGAAGATGAAGGAGGCCCAGAAAGCGCTGCCACCGCTAGCTCTCAATAACCACCACACGCGCAAAGCCAAACACACCGAGATTCTTTGCTTTTGTCCTCTCTCGCCTGAGTTCCCCTCGGAGCGCCGCTCTCTCCCCTTCGCCGTGCCCGGGCTGCTTGAGACCCCCGAGGAAAAGCAAACCCCCAGGCGCGCGTGTTGAAACCCCGGGGCGCGCAGGCGGCGCGAGACAGGAAAAGTTCTCTTTCGAGGAGTCCCAGCGGCCCAAGGCTCCTCTGCATTCACAACCCCTAAAGGGTGCCAGCCCAGTCTCCGCGAGCCGCCTGCTGCAGGCCGGGGATGGAGCACCCCATGGAGGAGCGACACCCAGCAGCTGCGGCCCCCTTTGCCTCCCCAGGTGCAGCTGCTTCCTGGTTTTAGGGGCGCCACCAGCAATCCACACGTGCGCTCCCAGGGCACCTTCTCCCTCCTCTCCTGGGCTGGCCGAGGGGAAGGTGGCGAGGCGCTGCTTGGAGCCTGGAGGACGAGTTCTCGTGGCCTGTGCGTCTCTCGCTCTGTCTTTCGGGGCAGAAAGTGGAAAGGGATGGACCGAGCGCGCTCGCCGGAGCGAAGTGGGAGCCAGTCTCTGTAATGTAACTTTAACATCCCCTCCACCCACTCCCGCCCCCGCCTTCTCTCTGTGGACGGGGCGGGGGCGGGAGGGGAGAAGATGAAAGAGAAGCCGCCGCTCTGATTGACAGCGCATTGATAGATACTCTGGAGAGAGCCGGGAAATGGATCCGCGCAGCAGCCTGGCTTAGCTAGCTCGAGTGCGAGCGGCCAAGCAGCGGAGAGAGCTGCTACAGCCTTCTCGTTAAATACAAAGAAGTCGCCTCGGCTGTCATAAGCTAGTAACGAGGAATCGGTAAAGCGAGCGATTCGTTCAGTTCTAGGGCAGAAAAGAGGGGAGAGGGTAGAAAGTAAACGATTTGGGGGGAGAGGGCAGGAAAAAAAGTAGAAAAAACCTGTCTGTCTTTTGTAAAAGGCAGAACTGCTGCATGGTGCAAACCTTCGGCCGTCTGCATTTAGCCAGTGAGGATTTTGTAAGTTCTCAGCATCTTGCGGTAACGTTGATTATTTTTTATAATGCAGAGCCGCAAAGGGGGGGGTGTCTAAAGGGAATTACTACTCTAGGGGGTGGAGGTTTATAATTCACCCAAAACGGAATACACACATCCCGAAGAGGGCAACGAATAGTTATCTAAACATCCCCCGACAAATCTGGAACAAGGATGTTTTTTAGGATGCTTTAAGACTTCCCCTTTTTGGAGGCAGGGGGACTGCACACGCATTAAATTGTTCGCAGAGAGAAAGGGGCACTAAGTATTTTTTTTAAAATGTTTGCAGTAATTTCAGATGAAGGGCAGAGTTATTAGATCGTCATTAAAGGTAGCAAGCCAGCAACTGACTGAGAAGTACCTGGCTAGTAGACCTTGAACGGACAATGAGATAAACAGGCATCCGGGGCTCATGTTTCAAGTCATCAAAATAAACTCTGTCTTTTGCTATTCCTAACTTTTTTATTACAATCAACTCTCCTCCCTATCCCATTCATTTAGAATTTGTATTGTTAGCCCTATGTATTAAACAGCATCCAGGGTATCTGCATAAAACAACCAGCTTTCAGGGTATTTGGAAATGCACTAATATGCATTTACTCTGATTATTCTATCTATGTGCTGTAGTGAAATAATGTTGTGCAGAACCAGCTGAAATGACGTTGGCATTGGAAGACTACAACTCATGTCTTGTATAGACGTTGTAAAATTGATAAACATACAAGCTCAAGAACACGGTGAAATAGAAACGTAAAGATATTTTCAATCCGTTTTAAACACATTATATTTTTACGCTTTATAAGGCAAACCCTGTTCTCTGTGACATAATCATGAAAGTTAGGATGAAATTCCAAAAGTTAAATATTTTCTTTACATCATTTCCCGTGCAAACTGTAATTAAAATCCAATGGGAATATAAAACCGACAAACCCTGATAAGAAAATAGAAAAAGAGAAATGGGGATATGTTTGTCACGTTATTAAACAAGTGCACGAAATACATTAGAAAGCAAGACATTCAAAATACAGACCCCAAAAGAAGCTGAAGTGTACAATGCCCCCGTAATTAAACAAACACTCGGTGGAAGATGGTTTGAGTAAAGTAATTAAGAGGGGGTTGTTTGGAAAATAGGGAAGTTAGTGATTATTTGTAACGTCTGAAAGTTACACCTAATTCAAATCCTATTTTCTCCTTCATGTTAATTGTTCGGACTTCCATACTCATTGCAGAACACCTCCCTTTGCTCTCGGGATTATTGCAGGCAAGAAGGATGAGTTTAAGCTACCTAATGGGACCCAATTTAGAGAGAAGGAGGAGGAGAAGATGTTCCATTTGGTGTTTTCTAGCAGGGATCTTCTATTCTGGAAAACTAACGAAGCCCATTAGATGCTCTAGGAATTTTCTTTAACATACACATGTGATTTTTAGTGGCTTGATTGTATTTGTGTATATTGCTGTCCCGCTCTTGTCACACGTCCAGTTAAAGGGAACTCCTGGTAGCCGAAAGCGTTCGCTTACAGATCCAGAATAAAATAGTTTTGGCATGAAGAATAAAAAAAAATCTGGAGGAGATGTTTTCAACCTTTCTATGATTAAAAAAAAATCTTGAACAGAACATTTTCTGTGAGAAGACTATACTAATTGTCACGACCATTAGCATGTGGGTCTCCAATCAACATGCAAACACCCACGTATCTAATCGATTGGAATTGGCATTACATCGGGAGGGGATGTTGCTATGTTGAAATCCTTTCTAGTCCCAATGAGATGTGTCGATTTTGTTGTTTACTATGCAGAATACTGGAGGAGGATGAGGGGAGAAGTCATGTTATAGGTTTCTTTTTACCAGGAGGTGAGGTTCACGTGGCGGATTTAACAATTAGCGAGAGATTTGTTTGTGTTTTGTCCTATCTTTCTGCTTTCCTCACATATAGGCAGTGAGCAGACTCTCTCTCTGTGGAGGTCCAAACAAAAGGGGTGGTTGGAAAAGTGGAGGCATGTACAGTACACACTTCTACCGTGTTACAGAGAGAGATGCCCTTCTTCTTATTGCCAGAGGGGGTAGGTAAAATCCGAACAACAGTTCCTTGCCAAATTAGTCTGCACAAAAATAAACTGTGTGTTTAATTAAAGAGAAGGGAGCTGTGTCCCTTGTTAGAGGACTCCCCGCGCCACCCCCTCCAGTTTTTTCCCCTTCATGTGGGCTGGAGTTTTTCCCTTGGCAGTTTTTTGGTGGGAGCTCTTTAAAAGCAGAAGGGGGGGGGGGAGCGTAATGATTTATGACAAGAGGATAAACTCAGGAAACCTCAACTCCAACGCCAGACTTGACTGGAGACAACACAAAGCTGTCGGTACTTTCAATTCACAGGACGGGAGGGAGAAATGGAAGAGGAGGAAAAGGCAATTTAAGTCTATTGCGAACAAAAGCAGGGATGTAGAGTTAAAATAGAGGGGGAGGGGCAGAGAGAGAGGAGAAAACAGAAAGATTTTAAACACGGAGACAGAACAAATCAGGTGGAAATCATATTCCTCCCTCCCCCCAATAAATAGGGAAATAGGCCGTATTACCCGTTACCTCTTCCCTCCCTATACACACACACACACTCCAGCAGCCAGACCTAATATTCTTGCGGATTTGGTCTGAAGAGTTGGTGCAATGCAAGTGAAGGAGCCAGTTCATTGTTTGACAAATCAATCACGGTGTAACTCGATACATCCTCTGAACTTTGGGGGGGGGGGGTGAAGTGAGCTGCGCTTTTAATATTACTTAAGCATAAAGGACTGGATTTTTACCGCCCCAGATAATCAAGCTCAATTCGCCCTGGGGGCGGGGGAATAATTATAGGAAACATACTAATCGGTAACGGAGCTGAATAAACACCAGCGGATGGACCAGTGGGATAAATCACTGGAATGAGAGTGAGGGTATTAGCCAAGGTCTGACATCAGGATATGACTAAATCGACCCGAGGCTGTAAATCCTCTATCAAAAGATAACGAGACATTTCCAACAGCCACAAATAATAAAGAGAGGTTTCAGAGGAGAGACCGCGACCTACTAGCTTGGTAAGAGCGGAGCAAGAGAAAATAGAGGGGGATTACAAATGCAAATGCGAACTAAAAAACGTACACACATCCAAATATTGTTAAGTTAGTAAAGTAGAAGGGCCGCCTGGAATAAGTTTGTGAAGAAAGTTAACGCCCAGCAGGGAGCCCGCCACCTTTCCCACCCTGTCAACAAATGTACATTCAAAACACAGCTTTCAAATTTGCTTCCATTCAAAATGGGGGTGGGGTAGATCATGGCAAATCTCTGGGAAGCAGAGAGACGGCAGCGATACAGGGAGAGGGGACGATGTGGAAGGGGGAGCAGGCGGCATTGCGTGAGAAGAGCCCACCGCTGAGAACCTCCCCTTAAATAGGCAGAGGGCGGGGTACGGGGAGCTGAGGGGCGGGGCGGCAGTTCCCTTTGATGTCCCGTCGGCTGCCTCTTTCATCCTTCCCCCCCCCGAGTCCCCCCATCCCCTTTCTGGCCCCTTTGTGTGACTAAATTTGGCAAGAACATGGAGACGAGCCAGGCTTTCCACGTGTGCTCAGAGCTCCCAGCTGAGCAGGCAAGGGTTCTCTTCCGGGTAAGGAGACAGAAAGAAAGATCAAAGAGTTTGTGGAGTTGGATCTGAAATGTGCATTGGAAATAAAAATCAAGCCTTGGACGCATTCCAACCCTGAGCAGCCTGACTGAGACACACAGAGGAGGGAGCGTTGGGCACGTGGGGTAAAATAGAAGAAATCAGAGGGGAAGAGTTATCCCCCCCCCGTTTTTTTATGGAGGTTTTGCAATTATTTTCTTAAGGAAAATCTCACGTGTATAATTACCATTCTGTGCAGCCAAATGGCTTCATTTGGAAGTATTATTTTAGCAGAAATGTGTCTCGCCCTTTTCTCCAGATGTGACAATCGGAACGGGAGTGCTAATGAGTGAGCTTTGTTATGACTCACTGCAAAATTTGTCATCAGAGGTGTGAAATACTTCACTAAAAAAACAAAGAAAAACAACAACAACTCCCCCGCTCCCCTTTCCCCGACTCAAAGTTTAATCCGCAATGAGGGAGGGAGGGAGTTTTGGCAGGTCTGCTGTAATGTTTAGAAACATGCTGTGTAGTGACAAAACATACAGCAGTGTATTCTTACCAAGGGAAAATATTTATAGACACATTAGTGAGATAGTGCCGGTATGCTCTGAAAGTCAGAAGCCTAATGCAGACTTAACTGTGGAATCGCTATCATTGCCCCGCAGATAATACTTTATAAAAGAAATCCAACTCGGCAGCCTTAAAATAGGGTCTAATGAACAGATTTTAAAGATATTGCTGATACAGAATATACCATTTTTGTATTTTTTTATTATTAATTGTGAGGTGTGTTTGCAGTACAGGTATAAAGTTGGAATGAGAGAACCAGCATTGAAACATTAACTGTCACAGCCTGGTGTTTGTTTCTCTGTAAACTTGCCACTTACTAAACTGTGTCAACATTCTGAGATAAAGCTGTCTCTGCTTTTCCGAT